ATCTTCAGAGCAGCCAGGAGGGCTGGAATTGTCTGCAGGCTGTAGAGCTGGGAGCAGCTCTGCGGGGAGAGGGGACATCTCTGCATGCAGTTTACAAGAAGCTAAGTTGATTTAATTTGGGCTGCAAGTTCCTTGCTCGTAAAGGACTGTTGCTACTGATCCTCAGTGATTGATGGCTTTCAAGGAAAAGAACAATCCAGGATCTGTTTCTGTAAATAGTAAGGCAGTTGTCTCCATGCTTTGATTCAATTAATTCGGGCATCCCATATTCCCTATTACCCTATTCAAGTTATATTTCCCTAATAAAATAACAAAAACTCATGGACTGTGGATGAAAGTATGGAAAATACATGTTGCCTGGCTGTGCAGAACCTAGGGGGACCCAGAAACAGTGGATGGTATGTACCGGAGAGGAGTCTGGAGAGTTTGACCGTGGAGACAGTGAAGGTGAGGAGTGTGAGGGGCATGTCAGTGGGCACCATGTGCAGGAGATGAGTGTGGAGAGTATGACAGTGGGCAGTATGTGCCGCAGAAGAGTGTGGAGGGTATGACAGTGGCCAGTATGTACAGGAAAATGGTATGACAGTGGGTGGGGTGTAAAGGTGAGGGAGATAAGTGTGAGGGGTATGTCAGTGAGCAGTAGAGGAGTGTGGAAAGCATGGCAGTGGGCAGTATGTGCAGGTGAGGGAGAGGAGTGTGAGGTGTATGACAGTGGGCAGTATGTATAGGTGAGGGGGTATATGATAGTGGGCAGCATGTGCAGGTGAGGGAGAGGAGTGTGAGGTGTATGACAGTGGGCAGTATGTATAGGTGAGGGGTATGATAGTGGGCAGCATGTGCAGGTGAGGGAGAGGAGTGTGAGGTATATGACAGTGGGCAGTATGTACAGGTGAGGGGTATGACAGCGGGCAGTATGTGCAGGTGAGGGAGAGGAGTGTGGGGTGTATGACAGTGGCCAGTATGTACAGGTGACGGGTATGACAGTGGGCAGCATGTCCAGGTGAGGGAGAGGAGTGTGAGGTGTGTATGACAGTGGGAAGTATGTGCAGGAGAGGAGTGTGGAGAGTATGACAGTGGGCAGTATGGGCATGAGAGGAGTGTGAGGGGTATGACAGTGGGCAATATGTACAAGTTGCAGGTGAAGTTTGTGGAGAGTTCAACAGTGGACAGTATGTGTAGGTGAAGGGTATGACAGTGGACAATATGTACAAGTTTAGGGTATAATAGTGGGCAGTATGTACAGGTGCAGAGTATGACAGTGGGCAGTATGTACAGGTGCAGGGTATGACAGTGGGCAGCATGTACAGGTGAAGGGTATGACAGTGGGCAGTATGTGAAGTTGATGGAGAAATATGTAAGGGGTATGACAGAGGCCAGTATGTACAGGTGAGGGGTATGACAGAGGCCAGTATGTACAGGTGAGGGGTATGTCAGTGGGCAGTATGTACAGGAGAAGAGTGTGGAGAGTATGACAGTGGGCACTATGTGCAAGTGAGGGAGAGGAGTGTGAGGTGTATGACAGTGAACAGTATGTACAGCGAGGGGTATGATAGTGGGCAGTATGTGCAGGTGAGGGAGAGGAGTGTGAGGTGTATGACAGTGGGCAGTATGTACAGGTGACGGGTATGACTGTGGGCAGCATGAGCAGGTGAGGGACAGCAGTGTGAGGGGTATGACAGTGAGCAGTATGTGCAGGTGAGGGAGAGGAGTATGATGTGTATGACAGTGGCCAGTATGTACAGGTGACGGGTATGACAATGGGCAGCATGTGATGGTGAGGGAGAGAAGTGTGAGGTGTATGACAGTGGGAAGTATGTGCAGAAAAGGAGTGTGGAAAGTATGACAGTGGGCAGTATGGGCATTAGAGGAGTGTATGGGGTATGGCAGTGGGCAATATGTGCAGGTGAAGCTTGTGGAGAGTTTAACAGTGGATTGTATGTGCAGGTGAAGGGTATGACAGTGGGCAGTATGTACAAGTTTAGGGTATGACAGTAGTCTCTATGTACAGGTGCAGAGTATGACAATGGGCAGCATGTACAGGTGAAGGGTATGACAGTGGGCAGCATGTACAGGTGAAGGGTATGACAGTGGGCAGCATGTACAGGTGAAGGGTATGACAGTGGGCAGCATGTACAGGTGAAGGGTATGACAGTGGGCAGTATTTAAAGTTGATGGGGAAACGTGTGAGGGGTATGACAGAGGCCAGTAAGTACAGGTGAGAGGTATGTCAGTGGGCAGTATGTACAGGAGAAGAGTGTGGAGAGTATGACAGTGGGCACTATGTGCAGGTGAGGGAGAGGAGTGTGAAGGGTATGGCAGTGGCCAGTATGAAATTGTTAATGGCACCCCAAGCGCAGGTAGCAGATGCTTGTTTTGCAGCGCATTTGTCACTCGACAAAATGTGTTACAAATGTTCCAAAACACTTACTGAAAAATGCCCTACGTCTTCCACCAAAAAGGTTCTGGAGCTACTTTGGGGCATTTATCACATGTAGGGCAGCCTATTCAAGTGAATGGGCTGCCCTAGACGTGATGTGTGTTAACGCATGAAAAAACATTTACTTTAAATGTTAAAGTGTTACTAAACCCCGGACCCTGCATTCACTATATCTGGTCTCCCACAGTACACAGAACATGGAAATGCAATTATTTTAGTAAATATAAACTGCTAAATACTTTTTCTCATCAGCAGTTAGAGCAGTCTTGTGACTTCTATCAGTGTCTAGCAGAGCACTGGTTAAAGCTTGTAGGAGGAGTTTTCATTCTGCTCTGTGAAGATGCAGATCCCCTGACCTCTGTCTGGACAGTGCTGATGGGTCCTGTACTGATCACATGCACTCTCCCAAGAAAAAAAAAAAAATTAAAAAAATCTAGCAATACACACTAAACTGAGCTTGTGCAGAGTGTCTCCACACAATATGTCTTATCAGGAGATAAGATGGAGACACTGGAAGAAGGGGAGGATCAGAGAAGTCAGGATCAAACAGCGTTTTTGCACAATGCAGAGGATTAACCCCTTGGGTTCCAACGTGAGTATAACAGGCATGCTTTACTGCATATACAGACTAATTTTACTGTTGTGGGTTTAGTAAATGAATTAAATAGTGCTTTTGGTTTGTGTTGCTCAGATACAGTGTAGTTCCACATAGTATCCCTATTCTTCAAAAATAATCTATACACATGCGCTACTTGATGGTCGTGTAATCTTTATTTCATAAAATTGTTGTTTCTTGTGTTTTTTTGGCCTCCTTGTAACGTCCTCCATAAGCCATTGAACACCTTCTTTCTCCCCCTCTTCTGTTTGTTTGGAATGAACAGTGCACTTTGGTTGCTGTCATGTGCACTACTGTATGCACAAACCCATGGTCCATAGCTGCTAGTCCCTCTTGGGACTGAGCATGAGAGAGTGGCTACATTCCTGCATACAGGTTGACCATGGAGAATGAACATAGCCACCTTTCAAAACAAGCGTCAGATTGCAGCGGCTAAAAATAAAAATTTGGAGGAGGTTGAGAGCAATAGAAGGATTTTTTTTTTAGTTAGGAGTACTTACTGGCATAGAATTTCCTTTTAAAACCAGACTTTGATGTCTCTTTAACTTGGGTGAAAATGGCAGATATTAGTGATGAATGCTACTCTGTGGTCAGCATATCCTTATGTTCTGTATACTAAGGGGAAAAAATTTGGCTGTGAAACGATAAAAACCCAACCTACTGTGAGACCCAACCCGTGCTCATCATAAACACCACAAACTTCTGTGGTATGTCTTCAGTGGCTTTAGTGACACAAAAAAAGAAAAAAAAAATTGTTTTACTGTTTTTTATTTTAAAAAAAAGTAAACATAGTAGACATTCTGATTTCTTATGTATACATTCCTTCTGTTTTTTTTTTTTTTTTAACAAAATTTAAAAGTAGGACTAATGATTCAGATTGTAAAACGGCTCTAGCCCATTCCTATATACCTCACTATTTATTGAGGCTTTATATTACATTTAGAGAACATTGACATTCTGGGAGAAGAAGAGGGGGGGGGGGGGGGGGGGGGGGGGGGGTGACATGCATCTCTGAGTTGAGGTTGGTATTTACAAAAATTGGTAGCTTTGGGTTTTGGTGCTAACGGGGGAACTTAAAAATATCTGTCTATTAAAATTCATAATATAGCAAATGCTGCAACTGTGGGTAATTCAGAAGGAGAACTTGATTGGTATTATGTATAATCTACAGTTGTCAAAACGTCAGCACTTCACTACACTGGGAATGTACTTCCAGAAGCCAGTGTTGTATAACGTCCTCTCAGCTTCCTGTATCACCATGTAATTTTAAACATACCTGATTATGACTGGTACCTCTTGGAATTGATATTTTCCTTTTACATAAGGTTCTCTATATGTGAGAGATAACATGGAGCCTGCAGGGGGTGTGTTTTGAAGGGCGCTACCTTTCTCAACCTCTTTACCCCAGAAGAACTCCTACAATAATTTTCTGATCTTGGGCATCCTTACTAAAACCAATTCATCGGGGGTCAATGAGTTAAAATGTCCCTTCATATGGTGATCAGTAAGAAAAATGCCACCCATAGAGTGGTGACTGGATTGGCAATCTTAAAGACAGTTAAATAGATAACGGGTGTCATGCTAACTTTGCCGAACTGGTGTTTATCCTGGAACTATGCAGGCAACCTGAAATTGGAGGTCAATTAGACACAGCTCAAGGAACTTCTAGCAACATCTGGAGGAACCCTGGTGTTCTATGGAATCCTTGTTGAGAATGGCCGATCTAACATGATGAGCCAGCGTTCTCAAACCAACCAGAAAATTATTTTGAGTTATAGGGTGCACTGTAGCAATGCCTGGATGATATTGTGAAGTTCTAGATGCTCCCTGTATACACCTCAAGGTTTAATGTTCAGTTTTGATTAGAGATCCTGCTACAAGATTATTGACTTTTAGGTAAGCACAAGTTTACTTTGATACAGTATAATCCTGACAGTTCCTTCTCTGTCAGTATAACTCAGTAATCCAGTTGTCCTCTGTTATTCCATAGTGAACATCTGCTCCAAAGAGAAGGAAATTCTGAAATGAAATAAAAAATATCATTGAGATGCAACAGCAGAATGTATAATCTGTTCTTCTGTAATGTGAGTGCCTTAGAACATCTATCACTGTGCACCCTCCTCCTATCATCCTTTGTTAGAGCCTATATCTGTGGGGTTTTATGGATAGCACCAGTCTGAACTGTCTCTGAGATTAAGTAGAATTCTACTGACAGATGCATTTGTCCTTCTTCAGGTAGGTTTCACATTTCTATTGTCTTAGAAATATAGAGGTGCAAAACCTGTTGGAAGCAAACAGAAAACTATCAATAGGCCCACTAGCACATAAACACGGCAGAATAAGTGCACAGTGTTGCTGAATGGGGGTTTGCAAGATGTTGACACCAGCTAAAATAAAGGTGATTACACTGCTTGCATTAAAAATGCATTTGATGAGGTATTAATTGATACAGATCTGCATTTGTAGCTTTTTTATGTCTGCTTAAAGCCATAGTAATCTCTTTGAAGAAGCCCCCAGGTGCCTTAAAGTGGAGCTCCACCCAAAGGGGAAGTTCTGCTTTAAGCCTTTGTCCCCTGCTCCCCATTAAGGATTGGCACCTTTGGGGAGCGGGTACCCGAATTTGACAGGTACCCACTCCCACTTTCACTGCGATCGCCTAGGTGATCAGAAGCAGAAGTTGTCCTCCCTCCCCGTAGTCTTCTGGGACACGTGACAGGTCCCAGAAGACTATGAGGCCATTCACAAAGTACAGCGCTTCTCTCGCATGCGCAGTGGGCACCCGGCTGTGAAACCGCAACCTGGGTGCCCACACTGAAGATGCTGGTGTCGGAGAGAAGACAGCCGGTGAAACCATGCGTGGTAAGGACAACGCTGGACCAAGGGACAGGTGAGTGGCTGTATTTTAAAAGTCAGCAGCTACAGTTTTTGTAGCTGCTGACTTTTATTTTTTTTTTCAGGTGGAACTTCGCTTCACATCACATACTAGCACATTATGACAGACTATTTAAAACGAGGCCTTCCAGCGGCATGCTGTCACCACTGACAGGGCTTCCTTCTTCACCTGGTCTTCCCTCTGGGTTCAACAGCTCCACCCATTTGAATAGCTGGGCCACGATGAAGTCACTCCCACGCATGCACACAGTAGTCACAGTTGTGTCACAGCGCTCTGAATTGATGAAGCTACATATCTATGCAGACCCACTGGTATTGGAACAAATGGCAGTTTCCATCTGGGCTTCCACGAAGCAACTCTCTAAACACGTTTCACTCCAACCTCACATGATTAACTCCGAGGGATGAGGTGAAATACATTGGAGGCGTGGCCTGGTGGGAACCCAGTCTGAAACTGCCATTCATTCCAATATCAGTGAATCTGCATAGATGTGCAGCTTCATGGGATCCATCCTTTGCTTAACAGTTGCTTGGAGCCAAGACAAGCTCCTTCCCTGGCCTACACGCATAGTGGTGGGCACAGGATCGCTTTCCATTGTAGCCTGAGCACTGAGCAGCACACATTTTTACTACCGGTTTGATCTCAATTGATGGCCTACTCAGTGTGCTGTCGATTAAGTACGCTGTGTGGCTGCTTTCAGCTTGAATATCTCCTAAACACTGCAAATTTCTGGAGATATTTACTGTACCTACAGGTAGGCCTTATTATAGGGCTTACCTGTAGGTACAAGTTTAAAAGTGGAACTTACTGCTACTTTAAAAGTCAGCATTATGGGGCCTCTTCTTTCCAAAGCAGTTTCCTTTCTTGCAAAGTATTTTGGTATTAGGGCAGCACTCAGAGTTCAGGTATGTTTCAAGATGCAGGGTTAGGTTTTTGTTTTTTAGCAAAATACAAGCTTACTTAGTTGTTTCACACTTTTCATCCTAAATAGCTCCATAGTGTATATATGTATAGCATTCAGAACTCCCTAAGCAAGGCCTAGAATAGATATTTCAGGTAATGATGACCCCTAACCAGTGTTGTTACTATAATTAAGCCTTTCTTAACCATTTACCCTGAAGGAACCTAGGAAATGACCTTCAGCTTTTAAGAAAAAACAGTAAATATTGATACATAAACTTACATTAGTGGTCTATTGAAAAGCACCCTCTGACATCACTGGTCATAATAGACACGATTCCTTACATTGTCAGTGAACAAGTGCTAGCTAATGCATAATACACACGATCAGAAAATCATGAAAAATACTGCTTTCGCAGCGATTGTACGATAATCTGATCGTTAGTACACAACTTTCGACAGCTGATCACAACAGTTCTTCTGAAATTATCTGAAGGAACAAACACAAATTTCTTCTTGTATGATATCAGATCGTTCAAATTTCATTTAATCAGTAGATTTTGTCCAAAAATACAATACAAATACAATACATTACATTACTTCTGGAATTCTATTCTGTTGTACAGGAATTTTCGTTAATTGAGTAACCTCTTCATTTTCAATATGGAGACTAGCGTGCAAAAAAAAATGGACGATCATTTGTCCGTTATCCTCATTGTGTGTACAAGGCTTAACATTGATGGTCAGCATGGGTGGAAGGTGAAGATCCACCATCACAGCTCAAAGACCCCCTAGCACCTTCTGGAGGAACCCTGGTTGAGAAAAGCTGATATAATTGTTGGCTAGAGGAAACTTGCTAGCCACCACCCTACAGGCACCAGACCTCAGACCTCATCATGCCCTATCAATCTGCTTTTCTCTTCTTGTGCACTGGGAGGAACAAGGGAGGTAACAGAAGTGTCTCTATATAATTCTTATAAAGGAATATTAAATGGTACAAACCTCACGTGGATCTATGACAACATTTATGAGCTGAATATGGTCCAGTAGTGGCAGGGGGGTAACCCTTCTGCAGAATGCCTGTATAGGTAAAAGAGATAGTCATTGTTTGGTGTTACGGACTGTATCTCCCTTATTATACACTGCTCAAAAAAATTAAAGGAACACATTAAAAACACATCAGATCTCAACGGGGAAATATACCATGCTGGATATCTATACTGATATGGACCGGGTAATGTATTAGGGACGTAAGGATGACCCATGGTTTGATGGAAATGAAAATTATCGACCTACAGAGGACTGAATTCAAAGACATGCATGAAAATCAAAGTGAAAAAATGATGCAGCAGGCTAGTCCATTTTGCTGAAATTGTCCTTGTAGCAACTCAAAATTGTACTCGGTAGTTTGTATGGCCCCCACGTGCTTGTATGCATGCATGACAATGTTGGGGAATGCTCCTAATGAGACAGCAGATGGAGTCCTGGGGTATTTCCTCCCAGATCTGGACCAGGGCATCACTGAGCTCCTGGACAGTCTGAGGTGCAAACTGGTGGCGTTGAATGGACCGAAACATGATATCCCAGAGGAGTTCTATTGGATTTAGGTCAGGCGAGCATGTGGGCCATTCAGTGGTATCAATTTTTTCATCCTCCAGGAACTGCCTGCATATTCTCACCACATGAGGCTGGGTATTATCGTGCACTAGGAGGAACCCAGGACCCACTGCACCAGCGTACGGTCTGACAATGGGTTCAAGCATTTCATAACAATACCAGTTGGCAGTCAGGGTGCCATTGTCTAGCCTGTAGAGGTCTGTGCGGCCCTCCATGGATATGCCTCCCCAAACAATCACTGACCCACCATCAAAACGGTCATGCTGATCGATGTTACAGGCAGCATACCATTATCCACGGCTTCTTCAGACCCTTTCACGTCTGTCACATGTGCTCAGGGTGAATCTGCTCTCATCTGTGAAAAGCACAGGGCGCCAGTTCTGGTGTTCAATGGCAAATGCCAATCGAGCTCTATCGTGCCAGGCAGTGAGCACAGATCCCACTAGAGTACGTTGAGCCCTCAGGCCACCCTCATGAAATCTGTTTCTGATTGTTTGGACAGAGACATTCACACCAGTGAACTGCTGGAGGTCATTCTGTAGGGCTCTGGCAGTGCTCACCCTGTTCCTCCCTACACAAAGGAGGAGATATCGGTCCTGCTGATGGGTTAAGGACTTTCTACAGCCCTGTCCAGCTCTCCTAGAGTAACTGCCTGTCTCCTGGAATCTCCTCCATGCTCTTGAGACTGTGCTGGAAGACACAGCAAACCTTCTGGCAATGGCACGTATTGATGTGCCATCCTGGAGGAGTTGGACTGCTTGTGCAACCTCTGTAGGGTCCAGATATCGCCTCATGCTACTAGTAGTGACACTGACCCTAGCCAAATGCAAAACTAGTGAAAAACAGTCAAAAAAGATGAGTAGGGAAAAAAAATGTCAGTGGTCTCCACCTGTAAAACCATTCCTGTTTTGGGGGTCGTCTCATTGTTGCCCATCTAGTGAACCTGTTGTTAATTTTCATTAACACCAAAGCAGCTGAAACTGATTAACAACCCCCTCTGCTACCTAAATGACAAGATCAATATCCCAGGAGTTTCAATAACTTGATGCTATACTCTGATTAGAAAGTGTTCCTTTAATGTTTTTGAGCAGTGTACTTTATGGAACATTAGCACAATCTCTAGAGTTAGACTAATGCAACTTGGATCTTTTAGAAAATTTTGTATATTAAGGAAAAGTTCCTGTTGGTTGTGTCAATGATGACTTGCTATGCTAGTGATTCAAAGAGGAAATACAACGTCTGTACATAGGACGATAAGAGTGCCGAACGTTTATAACATGGACTCAACCCACAGACAATGGTACTTTCAGGTCACTTCTGCTTGCCAATAAAAAGATTTGAAAGCTTATTGTGAGCAGAATCAGAAAGGAAGAAAAGCTGCTACACTTCCAAAGAAAATTAAACAACCTAGAGAAGGCAGATGAGTTCGGATAATGGCGTTTCTAATCCGAAAAAAATCCACGTCTGCTTTATTTATATAGTTCAGAATTGTCTGTTCTTAAAGCAGTCTACATACCATTAACCTGGGGAAGCAGTATGTGGGAGATATAATAGTTTACAGCAACATTTAATATCGCCACCTGTAAATAAATAAGAGGAGGAATTGATATCAGCACAGCCTTTTTACATTTACTATTCATGTAATTTCTGCACAGTTTCTACTCTTACTGCTATTATTACATTAAAGTGGAACTACTCTGCACATGAGCTCAACAAACCAAAAGTGATAGTTAATTCATTTTTAATATTCAAAGCAAACTCACAAACCCCCCGCAATTCTAGCTGTGGCCATCTTGAGTAAGGGTAGATAAATCATGTAGTAATTACATTCTGGAATTCATCTACTCTTAGCTCAGGCATGCAGACAGGAGGGTGTGCTTAGCTGAGAAAACCCCTCCTTCCCTCCTGAAGACTCCTTGGATGTATGGCATCATTTTTCTAGGCATGGAAACCAGGAAGTAACTAAATAAATGTTCTAAACAGTTTAAAACAAGTAAATGTGATATACTTTCCTATCTATTGATGAATGCTAGCAGCATAAGGATTCAAAATAGCCAATGTTGATTGAGGGAATAAATTTCTTCTTTAGGCTCCATGTACATGAGCCTACCCTGACCGCCGGCCACGGGAAAACGCGGTAACCTCGGTACCGCGATTTTGCTGCATTTTGCGTTTTCCCACGTTCGGCGGTCAAAACGTTCCTACCCTGAATGTGATTCTTCCATGTTTAGGAGAGGGCAGTTTAACCAAACCTAAATGCGGAAGCTCCTAAACTCTGCTAAAAGCCTATGTGTACATGGACAAATAGGTTTTTATGGAGATGAGTTTAGGATCTTTGGCAAAAAAAAAATGCCAAAAGCTCCTAAATTCAAGTTTAGGAGCTGCTCGTGTACATGGAGCCTTAAAGTAAAATGCAGTAGTGAGTCTCTAATGTGTGCAGTGTGTGCAGTGAGCATGGGTCCCAAACGGGAGGAGAACCACTGTGCATTGACTGCACACATTACAGATTCAATTTAGGAGGCACTCCTCGCCACAATGCCAGCTTGTAAGCTGCAGCTATTGTAGCAAATAAATGAAGAAACCTCTCATTAATGCTATTACTAGGCTACAGCTAGAGGGAGCTCTAATGATTTGTAATGTGACTTCAGGAGAATAACAGCCAACAAGCTCACATTTAACTCGAAATGAATAGGTGAGCAACATATGTTTTCTGTTCTCCTCTTGATACAGGTTGGTCACACTTGGATTATGTTATGTGGCCTGCACTGCTACTATAAAGAAAGTAATTATTTGTATAATGTGATCCATTTGTGTTTGACACATTAAACTCCTAATGAGTAAGTGAGCAAATTTTGTTTTCTGTTCTCCTCTTGATATAGGTTAGTCACACTTGGTTTATGCTATTTGCGTTCAGTTTTGTGTTTGTTCTGATATTCACTTTCTCTTTTTAGTATCCTATATGTAAGTAATGGTCACTCTCTAACACAAATTGACACGCTTTTCAATGTGGCCTGCACTGCCACTATAAAGAAAGTAATTAGCTGTATAATGTGATCCATTTCTGTTTGACACATTAAACTCATAATGAGCAAGTGAGCAACATGTGTATTCTATTCTCCTTTATATACAGATACTACAGGCTGCATCTTTGTCATACTCAGATCACCGGTAATCCTGTAACACTAGGCCTATCACTTGCAGTTGCAGATCGCAGGAGATCCACATATGCTAGCATTGAACCTGTCCCCTGAAGGACGTAGGTGCAGTTCTGACAAAGCACTGATTGAGTACTCATGTAATACGCATGTATGCCTTGACCAGCCCCAAATCTAGACTAGTGCCAGATTCCTTACATTCCCTAAACACAATTTCAAATAATAAAAGTTATTTATAAAACCCAGTAATAGTATACATTGTAACAATCTTTGGATGGTGCTTGGCTGAAAATGGGGTGATTGTATGTACCCCTCCACATTAATGGTTACATCCAATCAGTACCTCTTATCAAACCCTGATCACAAATACTTAGAGCCCAGGGTAACCATATCAGGGCGCATATACACTGGATGCTGCAAAGCATCCACTGTGCCCATAGACCAGAGTGGTTGCCGCATCCAGATCTGTGACATTCACTGTTCTGGACACAGCACCAGAGAAGCCAATTTGAATGAAGCTTCAGTTTTCCCATTCATGAGAAAGGGGGCCCAACTATATGATCCTGCACACAGGCCCACTTAATTCAGAAAACATCTTTGCTGAAATGCATAAAGCCTTATTCAAAGAAGAATACAAACAGCAAAGTGTAAGTGTAGTATTCCCCCCACCCCTCTGAGTGCTACCCACTACATTAAATTGGTTGTAAACCTCATACACGAAATATGAACAAAGCATATTCCTCTATAGTGTGCACTTGTCTCAATTAAGAGCATGGAGTGTAATTTCTGTCTGCTGCCTTGTTCTTCTACTATCAATATGAATCCTTTTGGAAGTTTTACTGACACCAAGAGAAAAATGATGACAGGGGAGGAACCTCCAGCAGATTGATAGCCTCAGCTCTGTGTAGAGGGGGTATGTACCTTCCATTCAATCAGCTCTCAGAACTCTGCTCACTGAGCTCTGCAGTGTGTAATTTCAGCTCTCTGCCCCCTTTTATCTGAACTCTCAGACAAGCTGTATCAATTGTGGACTTTGAATTGATGTAGAAAAGAGAATACTGCAGATAAACAGGTACAACGTATGTAGGAGGATCTGTTTCATCACCTGAGGTCAGTCACTTCACTGGGTGAGGGTTTACAACCACTTTAAATACTTACCTTCAGCCCCATGCCAGCTATCTTTACTGTGCCTTCTCATTGAGAACAGCACAGTCTTCTCCCAAATATGGGACTATTTTGCACTGTACATTCACACAGTGGCTCCTTTCCTTCCTAAGAAAAATGTGTGTGCTCATGACAGCCTCAAGCAGTCACTTAAAGCGGAGTTCCACTCAAAAGTGGAAGCTCCACTTATTTGCCTCCTCCTCCTCCACTGCCATATTTGGCACTTTTTGGGGGGAGAGGGGTGCAGATACCTGTTATTGACAGGTACCACTCCCACTTCTGGCTCAGTTCGCCTCGGCGAAGTGAGCCAGAAGTTCGTCCCCCTCCTCCTCCCCACAGTCTCTGGGGAACTTTCACAGGTCCTAGAAGACTGCCGGACCAATCAAGAGGCGCAGCGCAACTTGCGCATGCGCAGTGGGCACCAGGCTGTGAAGACGCAAGCTGTCAAAGCCTGGTGTCCACAGCTGAGGTGCCAGCGCCATGGAGGAAAGAAGGGAAGAAGGGATGGTGTGTGAGTGAGAACGTCCCTGGACTCTGAGACAGGTTAGTGTGTGTTTATTAGAAGTGAGCTGCTACAGTTTTTGTAGTCGCTGACTTTTAATAATCACAAAAATGGCTGAAACAGCTTTCTCATAGGAATGAATGAGGCTGAGCAGTGCATGCACAGTACAAAGTAGCAATTTTAGGGAGAAAGGCTATGTGGATCAGAGCAGGGCTGCACAGTGAAGATCATTGGATCGGGGCTGAAGGTAAGTATTTTACCTAGCAGGCAGGGGCGGACTGACCATTTGAAAAACTCAGGCACTGCCCAAGGGCCTGGGGTCAGTAGGGGGTCCCATGAGATGCCCCTGGTACCCTTTCATAGGCTTTTTTGAGTTTGGGCAAGGACACAGGGGCCCCATGATCCCCTATTGCCCGGGGGCCCCATGAGTTGTCAGTCCGCCCCTGCTAGCAGGTGGTACTCAAGAAGATGGGAGGAACTTATTAAAAGAAATGTACAGGAATAGAGATACACTTTAAGTCAGACCAGTGCAAAAATAATTCTTATTGGTTGGTGCAGGTTACTACACCAAAAGGAAATCTCTCTCAAGAGAAGCATGGGGTCTGTCATCGCTAACCTCTCTTTCTGAAAATATCATGGAATAATACCATAGGTATGTTCGGTTAAGCTGGCCATACACTGACTGTACAAATTTCACTCCCTGGGGGTCCTGTCGGCCACCTCCCACCCAGCATTCATTGACTGAAAAATCAAGGTGCTGGGCGCATCTGATTGGTGTTGGCTGTCAAAATACAGTAGGCACAGCAGGAGATTTGTTCTCGCTGTACAGCTTCAATGTGGGAATCTTGTATGGCCGGCTTTACAATGACTTCTGTAATTGCTATTTTAATCAGATTCATCTACCTTCCCCATACTTACTGAGAAAGGACCCACATCAGAGTGTTTGAGGTCCATCTGTATCCTATAAACAACATGAAGACATAAAAGTCAAACAAAGAATTTGTTGGTAATTGCCATCTCTGCTGTCAACAAACTGTTATGTGAAGCGTATATCTCAAACATAGCCAGAAAAAAAGGAAATATCGTTTATGAAAATCAAAGTTCAAAGAACTAAAATGTATTTGTGCTTACCTACTTAGTTCCAGATTACCCACAATCCTTCCTGAACTCACAGCCACCTTCGCTAGAGCGCTGGTTGTCTGCAGGGAAGATGACAAGAAAAAAGATATACAATGTGCAATCATTACAGTAGAGCCGCAGATAAAACACAAAGCAATTATATCATTTCACATATTTTTTTAGCTACTTTTTTAAAAAAATGACAACTGGATTTTTTTTTCTGGCTAATACGTTAATATTTAATAGATCAGCTCCAGTTGAGCTAACTGATTATATAATACTCTGTACACACAGGAACAAATGTCACCAGGGAGGAACTAAAGCATTATGGACCCCAATACTGTATTAAAATCCCCTCCATATGGCAATAGCAGAAGCTTCAGAAAGTACTAGGATACCGCCCATGGTCTGTTCAAGCAGACACAACAGATGGGGCTGTGCTTATTGACCATGATTCCTTCTTCTTTCTACATCAGTGAAGTGTGTTCAGTTTCCTTCTGTGAAAAGATGTCTGGATGGATAATTAATCACATCAAAAATTCAGCAGAGCCCTCTTGCATTCACACAAAACAAACATAGAAAAGTAAAAAAAAGGTGAGTAAGCATGTCTTTAAAGTTAAGGGTCTCAAGGCTCATGTACACTGCAGCTGATGAACTCACGTTTAGGAACTGTTCAGCGGTTTTTTTTCAGCAGCCCCTGAACTCTCCCTAATCTTTTCCTATGTGTCCATGTACACATCATTGTTTACAGTCGTTTGCAGGCAGTTGAGTGTACAGTAGTTTTTTTTTTGAACGCAGAAAACTTGCGTTCAGCTAGATTTTAACAGCGTTTCAAGCTCAAAACATTTGAAAACTCATGTAAACGCGGCTAAATGCGGCTAACCGTGTTTATAGGCGTCTGCGTTTGAATATTTTTTTCAACTCTTCCATTTTCAGATGTCCAGAGACTTTTTTCATCATGATAAATGCATGCAAAGTGTTTTCCCAGTACTCAAATGGACCTGGCACACCATACTTTGAGTTTTTGCATGAAAAAAAATATGTTAGACACTGCTGCAATAATGTCTGCACAGAAATGAGCTGGAACACATCCAAACACCACAAAAAAAAAAATGGCTAATCTCAACAAATACTGCTCTCTCTGCCTCTGCTCTCTCTATTTCTCTCAAAATATCTAAAATAGTTAATTATTTACTGTTTTTCAGTGCTTTCTTGGCATTTTGGAAGGTCTCCTTAGGTTATCTTAAAAAACACTTCTAAATGCCAACGCTCATAAACACGCATAAACGCGGTATGCAAACAGACGTTTTTTAATATACGTTTTCCAGCAGTCAGTTTCCATCGTTCAGAAGTGTCCCATGTACATGGGGCCTCACTCCACTAAAAATATTTTCTTTATGGTTGGAGCCTAGTGTGTTGAGTCGGACCCTGGCTTGTTTTATGTGTTGGATACTACAAAAGCAATATTTCCCTTTCGTAATTCCTCCTGGCCGTTTTACATGGTCTTTACTGCCTTTGCATGTTCCAGCTATGCTGTAATATGAAATAAAAAAAAAAGCACCCACAGAACTTCCCTAAAGGTCTGGACTCTCTGATCCATACCTAACTAGATCCCCCCCATCAATAGCTTGCAGCTAACTTTACCAGAGATCTGAAAAATCCAAACCTCCTCTTATTTTTGTTATTCTCTCAACACAACCCACTTAATATCTTCTCTTAATGCAGCACTGTAATTGGCTATATGGGGAGAGTGCTTGCCAACACAACCACTATATATACGTACACACCACTCACCCCAACTTAAGAATAGGCCTGTTAGATATTTAACCACCTGCCCTCCAGAGGATTTATTCCCCCCGTCCTGACCAGGCCATTTTTTGCAATGCGTTACTTTAACTGGCAATTGCACGGTTATGCAATGGTTCACCCAAATTAAATTTATGTCCTTTTTTTCCCACAAATGGAGCTTTCTTTTGGTGGTATTTGATCACCTGTGTGTTTTTTTTTTTTTGTGCTATAAACAAAAAAATATCCACAATTTTGAAAAAAAACAATATTTTGGACTTTTTGCTATAAAACATATCCAGTAAAAAAATCTAATTTTGTCATAAATTTTTGTCAAAATGTATTCTGCATGTCTTTGCTAAATATAATCCCAATACATGTAAATTAATTGGTTTACTTGAAAGTTATAGCTTTTACAAATGGCGGTATAGATACTGGAATTTGTTTTCTTTATGCTAAAGCTTAACTCCGGCTTAAGAAAAATTATTTTTAGATACAAGAGACATGTGTTATCTCCTTGAATCTTGGTGTGCTTTCTGTATTTCTTCCAGATCTATGCAGTAACCCAGTGTGAAACCTTTCCTCTGTCCAGGGGCTTCCTGTAATAAAGACCACTCACTGTTGCTCTCTCGGAGTGACTTGTCTTGTCTCCAACCCCTCCTGGGTTTTTATACAGGCAGCTTGTAGTGGGTGGGGTCTTCTGGACCACTCCCACAGCTTTACTCACTGAACAGGGTATGCACAGCACAGTAATGCTGAAACTGCTACTTTTACAAGGTGATATCTAGGCTTGAAAATGTATTTGGTGTACACACAGTGGATTATTATCCTATGTAGCTTTTGAGGAATATATTTAAAGTTTTTGTAGCTGGAGTTCAGATTAAACTTTAACGTTGGCCAATCTGCCTATGTTGTACTTCACTGTAATGTTTCCTCCCTCTTAATAAACACAGTTGAAACAGAAAATAAAAAAATCTAGAAAGAAAAAGTGCAAGAGTCTCTCAGTTGGTGTACTGAGTTAGGAACTTAAGTGTAATATTCCCAAAGAGATGTAACTGGTTAACTCTCCAGAGCTTACCAGAAATTAAAATATCCCTTTTTGGGTGAATTGAACAGATGACTATTTTTTTATATATCTCTTTGGAGTTTTCTGTTTGCAGTTCCTAATTCCATCCACCAGCAAGGGTCTAACTTTCGTTGCTAGATTTCACAATCATTGATTTGTTTTACATTATGGAAGACGTGGCACAGCGTCAAACCAAAGATTCCAGTTGTGCAAGGCATGTGTTTGGTTAGTAATTATGCCTTGCAGAGCTGGAGTCTTTGGTTCGACTCTCTGCAAGAATACTATCAGCATAGAGTTTGCTTGGGTTTCCTCTGGGTACTTTGGTTACCTCCCACACTGCAAAGGCATGCTGGTAAGTTAAGTGGTTTGTGTCTAAATTGGTCCTAGTATGTGTCTACAAATTGGCTAGGCACATGTGTTATCACATTGTGCATGCTACTTCCAAGTCGATCAGTTGAGGAGGGTTGAGGGAAAACTTGGCAACCTAGCCTACCTTGTAAAAGGTTTTACCAAGAAGATTCTATGGAAAAGGCTTTCAAGTATATCAGACATGTTGCCTAGAGTGCTGAACCATACAACTGCAAAGAGTCAGATACGACTGAACGAATACATAACTCATATATACACATAGAAAATCCACCTCTTTTGGTTTCATAATGACCATGGTTGGGGTTGGACCATAAACCCTGCTAATGATAACATTCAACTAGAAACTGCCCCAATAAAATGAATCATTGGGTGATATACTGTACACTATATTGCCAAATGTATTGGGACGCCTGCCTTTACATGCACATGAACTTTAATAGAATTCCAGTTAGTCTGTAGGGTTCAATATTGAGTTGGCCCACCCTTTACAGCTTCATCTCTTCTTGGAAGGCTTCCACAAGGTTTAGGAGTGTGTCTAAGGGAATGTTTGACCATTCTTCCAAAAGCACATTTGTGAGGCCAGCCATTGATGTCAGACAAGAAGGCCTGGCTAGCGGTCTCTGCTCTAATTAATCTCAAAGGTGTTCTATCGGGTTGAGGTGCAGGCCAGTCAAGTTCCTCCATCCCAAACTCGCTCATCCATGTCTTTATTGACCTTGCTTTGTTCACTGGTGCACAGTCATGTTGGAAATAGGAAGAGGCCATCCCCAAACTGTTCCCACAAAGATAAGAGCATGAAATTGTCCAAAATGTCTTGGTATGGTGTGGTGGACTGTTCACTGCTCTCGAGTCCAGTAGCAACGTGCTTTACACCACTGCATTCAACGCTTTGCATTGCACCTTGTGATGTAAGGCTTGGATGCAGCTGCTTGGCCATGGAAACCCATTCCATGAAGCTCTCTACGCACTGTTGTTGTACTAATCTGAACACCACACAACGTTTGGAGGTCTTTAGCTATTGACTCTGCAGACAGTTGGCGACTTATGTGCTCTGTGCACTTCAGCATGCGCTGACCCGCTCTGTCATTTTACATTGCCTACCACTTCGTGGCTGAGTTGCTGTTGTTCCCAGTTGCTTCCACTTTGTTATATTACCACTAACAGTTGATTGTGGAATATTTAGTAGCAAGGAAATTTGGACTTATTGCACAGGTGCAACCTATCATGGTACCACGCTTGAATTCACTGAGCTCTGAAATGTTTGTAGAAGCAGTCTGCGATCTATTGACATAGCTATATAAATTTAGCTTACCACATTTAGTAGGAAAGCTGGAGCCAGAGTGGCATTGGGTAAAATCACATAGGCTTGAATGTCCATTTTTGGGGAAATAGTCAAATTTCCTGGTTTGATGTCTAGAAATGGAGCTGAGGTAGATGAGACCTTGAGTTTCATGAGCATATCTGGGTACATCTTGGATAACTGTAACAAAACCAGACAAGAACATTGGATGGTTGCACAAATCAGTGTTGGTATTATATTAGTGTTGTGATTCTCAGTAGAGATGAGCGAAGTATTCAAAAATTCGATTCGGCTGATTCGGCGAATTCGAGGAATAAATTTGATTCGAGGCGAATATATTCGCTGCGAATTTAACTTATAAAAGGGTGTTTCTAGGCTTCAGAGAGCCTTTATATTAGTGCAGAACACTGTACCTTTAATTTAAATGCCCTTGGAGTCTGCTGGGGAAGAGAAATAATACTGTCAGTCAGTATGACATGCAGATGAGTGCCGTCGATCTTAGAATCACCGCACACTTCACTCATTTGGGCAGTCACGGGGCCAAAACCAGAGTGTGGAGCC